ACTTTGCTGGTAGAACGACCCCTTACTATTATAGTGTTTTACGACATGTTTCCTAACTTTTTAAAACTCACAAGTCGTATTTTTCAAGTCATTCTTCATCAAGTCATTCAACACTGATTAGTTGTCAACAAGGCCGAGGCGAATTGTCGCCAAAGGAAGCCATTTAAACGCTCATTTCGTTAAAAAGTTATTATTTTACATAAAAATGAAGTTAAAAATTCAGTTTTCTTTAAGATTTATACTAAAACAGTTAGACAACTCAGCTTCGTTATCTCTGAGCCAATAGTCAATTTCGCTTCGCCTCGTTGACAATTCATCTTTGATAAATACAGATTTAGTTACATTATAGAGTATATTCCGTTGTACTAATACTATCGGCATATTTAAAAATTCACTTGGTAAATAGTTCTACTTAATTTAAGATTAGATGCCAACTCATTAATTCCAGAGTTTAGTCGATACGATATTGGAACGTTTTTTGTCCTGTTGCACCAGTAAAAAGGAGAATGTTAAGTTGACCAGATTGCCTGTTATTCTTCCGCCTACTGCTCCCCTGGTAGTAAATTGCGAGCTCAAATATTCTGCAGGTGTATACCATTCCATTCATATTCTTATTAAAAAGGCCAATACTGCATGCGTCTCGATAATATAGATGCTCTTTAACTGGAATCCAATGAAGCTCTTTTAAGTCAGATTGAAGTCACGACTAAACAAAAATTAAACTCATTGTCATTGTCATTGTTATAAGTAACCAATCTCATCCCCTTATAAAGTATTATTTTAGTATGTAACAATCATTAGTGACTGTCACAAATTAGTGACTGTTAAGGACCATTCATTCTTTTATGAGGGGGGATGGCTGGAACAAATAGTGTGGGGGCATACAAAAAAGTTGACAAATAATAGGAGTGTTGTATAGAAAAATTGCAACTTTTAGAAGTTCAGAAGACTGTAAAAATGCAATTTCTGACAACCATGGAAGTTTAATTAACATGAAGCCTCTTCTCAAAAGCCGCTTTACTTTTCTGTTATAAAAGAAAGATATAGAGCTTTTAGCCATGCAACAATCTTTTTATTAACCCATTGACCCACAATGCGCTCTGCTTATTTTTTTTACTTGTCTAACGCCAGACCATTTGTATTCGTCAATGGGGAAGCTGCAGCTTAATGGCTTAAAAACAAGTTTCTCTAGGGGGGGGGGGGGCAGGGTAATCTAAAAATGACCATCGTTGCCTTTTGAGGGTGAGCCACTGGAAAATATGGGGATTGGCCACACCAAAGTTTCAGGAGGGTACACTAAATTGCACCAGACCCCTCCCCAATGGAAAAATAAAATAAACAGTCTCTTATATATAAACACATATTTGTTTGTGATCATCTGCAATGTTGAAAAAAATCATCTGATTGTAGCAAACATGCAAGCCTATAACAGTGAGACTAGAATGCATTTTTTTCAAGCCAGGAGGGTATACTAAATTGCACCAGACCCCCCTCCCCCCAAATGCAAAAATAAACAGTCTCATATGTATAACACATATTCTAGGTACTAAAGTAAGAAACGACCTACAACGACGCTGCAACGACCTACAACGATCTACAACGATGCTACAATCGTTCACCCTGCCTTGCTGTCCTGGATCTCAGCCTTTTTATTCAATCGTAGGCAGGCGGTTAGAATTGGTAGTGTCCTTTCTCAATGGCAAACTCTGAAGGGAGGAATACCCCAAGGGACTAAACTCGGAGTGGTATTTTTTGTGGTCATGACAAATAGCTTACTGGCTAATTGGCATCTCCGTACAAAATTCGTGGATGATACTTCAGCCCTCGAGATTATTCCTAGGAACTCTATCAGCCTCCTTAATTTTGCAGTCTCTGATATACATGAATTTGCTAATGAACATAACATGAAGCTCAATCCTAAGAAGTGTAAGGAAATGCTTATAAACTTCCTACATAACCCCAATTTCTTACTCCGACCAATCCAAATTGGTAACAATATTATTGAGCGTGAGACAACGTATAAATCTTTGGGTGTCATTTTGAGTAGCGACCTAAACTGGAAGCCCCATATCGAATACATTGTTAAGAAGGCTAACAAAAAACTATACCCTTTAAGAGTCCTGCGAAGAGCTGGGGTTGACCAAACGAATTTACTGAAAGTGTACCTGTGCACAGTAAGACCAGTACTTGAGTACGCCGTCCCTATTTGGCAAAACATTCCGGATTATCCAGCGAAGGAAATTGAGTCGGTCCAAAAACGAGCACTAAAGATAATTTTCTCGGAGAGCGAGTCATATGCGGAGGCCCTGAATTTTGCACAACTACCAACTTTAACCACAAGAAGAGTGCAAATATGTCAGAAATACATGGGCAGAATGAGGCGAGAAAACCATCCCTTATTGCCAATCCCTGTTGTTCCTGACCATGACATTAATTTGAGATCCATTTAATAATGTTACTGATTGCAGAACAATTAAAGCTCAATCCTTTTTTACATTTAAATACTTTTAATATGTTGTTCCTGACCATGACATTAATTTGAGACAGAACACTGATCGATTTTATCTATTTAATAATGTTACTGATTGCAGAACAATTAAAGCTAAATCCTTTTTTACATTTAAATACTCTTAATATGTTAAGATTTTTTTTAATATATATGAAAATTGTAAATAATTATGCATGCACTATTTACTATTTTGGTAAATGCCTAATGATTTTAACTCTTGTAAATAGCCTAGATTCTAAAGCATATCCATGCATGTACTATTTTATAACATATTCTTATCTATTGTAAAGTACTCGTTAATTCAGTTGTTTCTGTAAGTGCAAGAGAGTCCTAATAAACTATTATTATTATTATACAATGATTTACATAGCGACCCTACAACGACTTACAACAACTTATGTTGAACGTCGCGATGCATGCATGGCGATCATAACCTAAGTATCAAGTTCTATTTTACAAATAATAGCCTGACACAAACCTTAATCCGATCGCTTTCCACCCACAACAAAGTTTATATTTAGTATCCAATCAAAATGTCGCAGGATAAATTTAAAGTTAGTCCAAGAAGCAAAAGAGTGGTATGGTACGTCGTGATCATATTTTCTATGACCGCTGATGATACGTGCGCAAAACTCTGGATATGTTGAACTATTGAAGTTTCTTGATAGTTTTCCTGGAGGTTGACGACCAGACGGAGGAGCCCCTCTCTCCTCCGCAGAGGCTTTAGTTAGCTACGATTACGATTAGTATTATGCATATGGCTGATCTTGGAACACGAGCGGAGCCGCTGGGCGAAGGAGCGCAGGCGGAAAAGGGTGAAGGCGAGGAAAGGCGCGCGAAGAAGCAATAAAAAAGCTGGCGGCTTAAACACTGCATTAATAATAATGAGTAATTGTACTTATCACATAGTAAAAATGAGTAATGTATTTATCATAGTAAAAATTGGCAAAGTTTCCTGTACTGACGAGGAAATAAAACTTGTCATAAAAAACTTGCTCGGCTGCTCGCCCTTGAAACCCGGCCGTCGGCGAAAGTGGGGAAACAAAATTGTTCCACTCTCAATTCCTACCGCTTTAATTTCATAGATCACAGCGCGTAACTTACCACTTATATACAGTAGCTACAGTAAGTATCTTTTGTTGTGTAAATATCAGCTGAGTCAAATATCCTTTAATATAATACATCAATTTGCCAGCTATACAGTATATCCCGAACTAATATGCTAGCCTATTTCCCACTTCAATTCAATCGTGTAACGTATCGTCTTTTGTGTCCAGTCATTCGTTCCATCCTAGTGCTTAGGAAATAAAGGATATGCTACCCTTTTGTACGACACAGTTTAAGTGGAAATCAAGCTTTTGAATTAACACTCTGAGAGGACAAAGACTGGGATTAATAAACTATAGTCTAATGCATGTAATTAACATGCAGAAAAGATCATTAGAACACTCACATTTTCATAACAATTTATGCGTTCTTATGGAAATTTTTTCATGTAAAAGGTGAAATGCAGTTAAAGATTTTAATGTCCTTGCGATAAAATGTTTGAGTACATTAATTAAGGTGGCCGTTATAATGACGAGTATTTTGGGTTGGTGCTGTCTCAAAGCCACGTCAGAACTCTCAGGAGAACTGCAGTTCAAGTCGTTCGGTCCAGGAGTAAAATGAAAAGCCATGATGGCGGAATTGACGTCCAATATTCAATAGCTATGAAGGTTGTAAACAATTTTACGTACTGACAAATCAGGGGGAAGTTCATGTATTTTTAAGCATTACAAATTTATTAAAATTTTAAATTTCTACAAATATTGAGTAAACTCGCTACTATACGCAGTAATATTTTTAGAGCTACACAAATTTATTTATAACTATTCAATACTTGGGATCTGTGTGGAAAAATATTCCAACACAAACCTCTTTCGAAGTATTAAAAAACAAAAAAGTACTTCCCTCATTTAGATTCAACTACATAAATTAAATCATATTGGCAGTAAATTATGACTATGTTCTACATTTTTACTTCTTAAAACTTAATATTTTATTCCATTTCAGAACTTATTTTTAAAACTTACTTATATTCATCGCTATTTATACCTTCTCTATCTTTTTTTCTCTTATCTATTTTATAACCCAGATTTAATTCATAACCTAGGAACCTTAAATAAAAACCTTATGATTTCTAGAAAACTCCTGGCTCTATTCTTGTAAATATTTTCTATTATTGATTTTAAATTGAGGTTTAGATTTGACTTCCCTTACCATTATTAACCAATCAGATGCGTTCAATCTACCCGATTGACCAATCAAATGCGTAGTGCAGGTCAGTGAGTGAAATGAATATAACTGGAACTACCTTCAGATAAACCGCCTATCTTTTTCTTGAAGCCAAATTTCAAGACACGCGTGTTTATGCCTCGCGATTATCTTGCGAGAACAGTTCAGGGGAGACCAGTTCAAGTAAAGTGTACTAGGAAGTTTTGCTTGAATAAATGCATTAATAGAAAGTTTTCAGCGCTGTTAAAAAGCTTTTTTCGTAAATTTTAAGCCGGTTTTCAAGAATACATATTCATGTTGACGGACTGACCGCGCTCTTCGCATGCGTGAAAAGACTGGGACTGGCCTTCAAGTTTGGCTTCAAATTTCCGGTGGAAGGTATCGTTCCAGTTATATTCATTTCAGTGGTGAGAGGTAGCGGTAGTCAAATCTGAAGTCTGAACCAGGACCGCAGAACCAGAAGGAGAGACTCAGATTGTACAATAAATAACCCAGTACAACGGGCTGAAAGTTCTGCAAGCCAAGGACTGGCCAAAGATTAGATTTCTGCTTCGAGTTTGCTTTGATCCAGCTTCTCGTAATCTACTAAGTTTCCTCCCATTTTCATATCTTCGTACGACTCTCTTCCCTCGTGAGCTTGTATAACATAATCTCGCTTTACAAGTTTTTGATAGGTACCATCTTCCGTTGTATTTCTGCCGTGGACTCTGTTCACATCAAGCTCAGTATAAACAGAATTTTCTGGCGATAATTTGGGCTCTTTACAGGTTTCATTTTGACCTGGTGTTTCGTGTTGTGGTTCCTCTGACGTCGGTATTACGTATATGTCAACGTCATTTAAAAAAGTCTGATAATCACCATCGCCTGTCGCCCCCGTTTTCAAGGTATCGGGTGGTTTATTAAGTTCAATGTGTCCAGAAACCATGTGTGCATTTGATGGTACCTCAACCTCTTCGTGATCTGATGTCCTGTCTTTAGAAACAAAAGATTATAAACCCTGGTCAAACAAGAATGAGAGTTGATAAGAGTTGGCCAATGAGAGTCTGCAGTGAGAACAACAATTGCATGAGAGTTGACTGGATATTACAGCACGTAGCGAGAACTCTCATCAACTTTCATCAAATTTTGAACCAGCTGAACACTGATGAGAGTTAACTGGATATTACCAAGCGTAACAAAAACTCTCATGAACTCTACTCAAAATTTGAACCAGCTCAAAGTTGACGAGAGTTGGCAGGAAAACACGAGCGAGAGTTTCAACCTTCATTTCCTTTTATCAACTCTCATCCTCGTTTGTTTCTTTTTAACAAAGATATATATTACATCTCTTCTTGGAATGAGCAAATATTACACATACCAAAGTTAGTGGAATTTTAAACATATTACCTTCAGCTGATATTTCTGCATTTGTGTCAACGTCATCGCAAAACCCTCCATTAGCTCTTGCAACAGTTTCGTTACGTGACCCCTGATATTCATTTTCGACTGGTGTTTTGTACTCAGAAGTGTTGTCTCCATTTGATGGAACTCCAACCCGATCGTGAAGGGATGCCCGGCCTTTAAACAAAAGACGATTACAAAGCCCTGGTCAAACGAGGAAGAGAGTTGAGAAGCGAGAGTTTGCACGAGATTTTTCTCAACTATCGTGCCCCGATCAAGCGAGAACACGAGGTGCTGACAGTTGATGAGAGTTGACTGAATATAAGCGCGCGTAGTAAAAACTCTCATCAAAATTTGAACCAGCTGAAAGTTGAAAAGTTGGTTGTCAAACACGAGCGAGAGTTTCAACACTCATGACCTCTCAACTTCGTTCTACAGTGAAAACAATTATCAAGATTGGTTTCTTTTCAACCAAGATATATTACATTTCTTCTTAGACTTGCAAGTGTGAACCAGGCGGGAATCGTAATCGTAGTAGAAAGATCAATGCCCAGCATAACGTACGTAAAAGAGCTACATAGACAATAATATAGACATAAAATTTATTTAAGAAGTACTAACGTTTCGTCTTTAACCTAAGACATCTCCAGAGTAAATGAATGAATATATAGTATGACAATAAGTTACAAATATGAATAAATTATTATTTACAATATCAAAATACAGGGCAATAGGAATGCGGAGGATTGGGGGGGGGGAGTTAAAGGAAAGAAGTCAGAGGAGTGAGAGAGGAATGGAGCTACCTTGCTGATTCAAAGTAGGTTTGAGCGTTGAGATGAGAAGACTTTCACGGACGAGAAGTTCATCTGGAGAGGAACAGGATGATAGGATCTTAAAATCATCAAGAGATGCAGTATATGACCTGAGTGGCTCAGATGGGAAAAGATGCTCGTAAGTTGAGGACTGCTACTCGTCTTACCAGTTAAGGCAAAAATACCCAGGTGTGCAGAGACTCGTGTATGTAGATGGCGGACCGTTTGGCCCACATACGACGCGGAACAGCATTGACACTTAAAAGAATAAACTACACAAGACCTCAAAGCATCGGGAATTTTGTCCTTAAACATGAAGAAATTAGACAAACGTAAAGTGGGACGAAAAACGATTCTGATGCTTACATGTGGGAAGGCTACAGAGCAAGGCGTTGAATTTGGGTACGGATTTGGAGAGAGTGTTTTCCGGAATATGGAAGACAAAAGTATACCACTTTCCTTGATACAGAATGGATTAATTCCTTGGGTTGAAAGGTTTTATCAAGAAAGAGTCGATCAAAAAGACGATAAAAAGGACGAGTAGGATAACCGTTCTGGTTGAGGATTTTTCTAAAAAACTCAATCTGAGCATGAAAATTCTCATATTTAGAGCAAATATAAAAAAGCGGTGTAATAGTGAATATATTAAACCACGTTTAAATTGTAGAGGAGTGAAGCTATGGAAATTAGTGAAAAGCCCTGTGAATGTAGGTTTACG